TTCCAGAGCTACAGAGATGGTAGTCAAACCACTAGAAATGCTTTATCTGGGGTTACAAAAATATATCTTGTTTATATTTGTCAGAGGAAGACATGGCTAATTCAAGAAGAGCGGGCCATGAAAGAGCAATGGCACAATCACAGCTCACTGCAGCCTTGAACTCCTGGGCTCAAGCGACCCTCCTGTCTCAGCCTCCTGAGTAGCTGCGACTACAGGCATGCACCACCATGCTCGGCTAATTTTTTCTATTTTTAGTTGCCCAGTTTATTTTTTCTATTTTTAGTAGAGATGGGGATCTTGCTCTTGCTCAGGCTGGTCTCAAACTCCTGACCTCGAGCAATCCTCCCACCTCAGCCTCCCAGAGTGCTGGGATTACAGGCGTGAGCTACCGTGCCTGGCCCATCCCTGGCTAATTTTAAAAAGCTTTTTTGTAGACACCATGTTGCCCAGGCTGGTCTTGAACTCCTGGTTTCAAGCAATCCTCCCGCCTTGGCCTCCCAAAGTGCTGTGCCTGGCCTCACCTCCCCATTCTTATCCCTCATAGAGGGAACACAGGGAAGTGTACTTTTTCCAGCCAAAGATCTGACAATTGCTTAAACTAACCCACTATGTGTCCTGAAGTAATAGTGACAAGCTCATCTTGCACCACTGGTCCCCAAGACCACCTGAGAAGTTAACAGAGTTAACTCTCCAAGGCCTGGGCTCTCACCAAGATGTACAGCCATACATTTAACGGAGTTCTACATTGGAAGCCTCCATTTCTTTACCTTTTGCTTAGTCCTCCATTAAAGACTAGTTGATGAGAAGAAGTTTCACTTTACAGATATACTGCAGTTAGTAAACGAAGAGGAAGTGCTAGAATCAGAGTCTCACCATGGCACGCATGGGTCTAGGTATTGCCAACATCACAAAAGGAGAGACGAGGCCTGGCGCGGTGGCTCACGCCTGTAATCCTAGCTCTCTGGGAGGCCGAGGCGGGTGGATTGTTTGAGCTCAGGAGTTCGAAACCAGCCTGAGCAAGAGCGAGACCCCGTCTCTACTAAAAATAGAAAGAAATTAATTGGACAACTAAAAATATATAGAAAAAATTAGCCAGGCATGGTGGCGCATGCCTGTAGTCCCAGCTACTCAGGAGGCTGAGGCAGGAGGATCACCTGAGCCCAGGAGTTTGAGGTTGCTGTGAGCGAGGATGACGCCATGGCACTCTAGCCCGGGCAACACAGTGAGACTCTGTCTCAAAAAAAAAAAAAAAAAGAGACGACCAGAAGAATGAGACACAAACATGACTCCTGATAGAATTAACCCCACTTCCCACTCACATGTATTGCCAACATGTGAGGAATAAAAATCAAGCCCAAATCAATTTAAAGAAAATTGAGGGACAAAGGAATATGTTAAATGAAACCATGGGGGATGTAATTAGCAGAATCTAGATTTTTAGGACAAATCACTCAGTTTACTCATCACAAAAATTACCAGTAAAAAAAAGATGGAGGGTGGACTTGTAGAGTAAAAGAAACATAAGATTAAAAGAAACATAAGATTAAAAGAGACATAAGATTAAAAGAGACATAGCCTATATTATTTTATAAATCTCTCATTAGTACATATTATTGATATATATTAATATATCTATATATGTTTTAAAGAGTCCTTATTCTTTAAACTCATATATGTACATATTTTCAGATAGATGCCATATCTAAGACTGGCTTCAAAATACTTGGGGTGGGCATACACAGATAAACCAAGACTGGCCATGCAGATAGTAAATGAAGCTGCATAAAAGGTATATTAAGTTCATTTTATATGTTTTCTACTTCTATATGTTTGAAAATTTCCATAATAAAAAGTTCTTAAAAGCTTAAATGAGCCCCACTCACTTAACAAGGCCTATCACCTCTAAGATACAGCTCTCCCTCCTTAGGCTGGGAGGATGGCTTCCCAACGATTTCCCCACCTATCTTCCCCAGGCCAACCACCTCCACTCTATGCTCTGGCCTCAGGCAACTGTGTGCTGCCTCTCTAGCCAAGAATGTGTGCCTCTTTTGCAGGATGGACCAAATGCTCCTCCTCAGGGAAGCCCGATAGCCAGCAAAAGCCAGGCTGGCTCTGCGTGGTCCTCTGTGGTACACAACCATCCACTGTACCCACGTACCTTGCTGTGCTTGTGTGTCCACAAAGACTACGCTGCTGGTCTGGGAAGGCCTCAGGCCTACTGCAGATACCAGTAGGTGCTATGGAAACTAGCTACCAACAGGTCTTAGCACTCATTACACATACATATCGCCCCTTGCAAGGGTGAAATGGGACCAAAACTACCATAAAATCTTAAATTGGGACAAGCCGTGGAAGAAACCACTACACTGAACAATTAGTACATCACTCCCTTCCCTCCCCTGATGTCCTGGCTGTCATCAGGGGATATGTCTGTGTATATGTGGGCAGCGTTTTTGGAGTACTAACTGGGATCTTACCCCAAGCCTTTTATCCTGGTGGTAACTGCAAAATTTCTGTCTGCATGTGTATATGTGTGTGTTTCTGGGTGGGGAATGGACATGCAATGCTGTTCAGTCTGCAGAGCAGACCAACTATTTTTAAGGAGCACATTTGTTTGTGGTGGCTTTATGGAGGGGCTGATGGAGGCTATGGAAGAAACTAAAGCACCTTGGTCTAGGCTGTGGCCAGCAGCTGTTTACCCTCATCTTCCCACCTGGAATCACTGCTCACAGTGGCTTCCTAATGTTCTCTGTTTAAGGAAGCCTCCTAAAATGAAAATGCTTTAAAAAAAATTCACCTTCAGAAAACCTCTCGTTCAAAGTCATGTGTAGGCAGTATGGACAGATCACAGTAGATGATGAATCAATGATGACTATTTTCAGAGCTCTTATATACATTGCACAACATATATAAATAAATTTCTATGTCTCTCACACACAAGCAACCTAATTCCCCCAGAACTCCTGTTCACCTTGTTTTACCCAGGCCAAACCTGCAAGGAAAAGCCAGGATCAGTGGCTACCTGAGCCCCTCCATAGGCTAGATCTTCATCATCTCACTTGAGCTGATCCCATGCCAGGCTGGCTAATGTTTGGCTAACTAACAAGCTGGCCAAGTATACTCTGAGTGCAAAGAATGCCATTTCTACTCAGGCCAAGAAGAGCCAGTGGTGAGATGACTAGGAAGGAGAGGCAGGAAGAGAGAGTTGTGTGGGGCAAGAATGCAAGCTCATGGCCAGATTCCTAAAACAGAACTGCTGGTGGGTGTCTGTAGGCCATGGGCAGAATGGCATGACCAGTGAGGGGAGCAGAAGGACAGAGTTTGAAAATGAAAAGGGTAAGTACAGCAGGACTAGTCTAGTTCAGGACAGTAAGCAGAAGGAACCAAGTGAACACAAAAGAAACTAGGGGAGGATGGGCTCTCTAACTTCGGGCTCGAAGGGAAGCAGTGAGGGCAGTGGCTGTGTGTGGCGGCTCCAGAATATGCCTCTGGCACAGCCTTGCAGAGTGCCACTGTCACAGGACAAAAAGAAAATGCTCAGGGTATTCTTTACACACAATGAGACTTTGCCCTGTTTCTCCCTAGACCAGAACCTCCCTGTGAGCTGGAATCACCTGTGTCCTCAACATAGATCGTAGAGCTGGCACAGAATAGCAGCTTGATAAAAAGAAGGATGTCTGGATGGAAGAGGGAAGGAGACAAAAAGACATGGAGGGAAAAGGGGCTAAAAAGGAGGTGGGGGGGTGGGGACAAAGGAGGAAGAGATTAGAAAAGCAAAAAAAAAATGAGGAAAGGAGAGTAGAAAGGGATGGGAAAAAGCATGGAGAGAAAAGGAGAAAGAGGCCAGGCACAGTGGCTCACACCTGTAATCCCAGCACTTTGGGAGGCCTAGGTGGGAAGATAGTTTGAGTCCAGGAGTTTGAGACCAGCCTGGGCAATAGTGAGATCCCATTTCAACAAAAAATAGAAAAATAAGTTGGGTGTGGTGGCTTGTGCCTGTAGTCCCAGCTACTCAGGAAGCTGAGACAGGAGGATTGCCTGAGCCCAGGAGTTTGAGGTTGCTGTGAGCTATGATGATGCCACTGCATTTCTAGCCTGGGTGACAGAGGGAGACCCTGCCTCAAAAAAAAAAAAAAAAAAAGAGACAGAGGGAGAGAAGAGTAGAAAGAGGATAAAAAGAGTAATGAATGTTACTGAATGTAATGTAATGAAGGAAGAAGCAGAGAACAGGTGAGAGGAAAAGGTTGATTAATTTTGATTTTATAATGACAAGGATTCAAGGATGGGCTCTGGAAAGATTTAGAAATCTGTCTCAGAGAAGGGACTCCCACAGTGCTACATGAGATGCAGACAGACATGTGCATCCCAGGAATGGATGTGAGAGGCAACAGGACTGCTACTGATCGCTGCCCTCAGACCAGATCTTTGACATAGCTGAGGAAAACCCAGAGTCTCCTACCCACACGGGTGAAAACATACCAAGTGAGCGCCAAGCACAGTGGCTCATGCCTGTAATCCTAGCATTCTCAGAGGCTGAGGCAGGAGGATTGTTTGAGGCCAAGAGTTTGAGACCATCCTGAGTTAGACCCCCATCTCTACTAAAAATAGAAAAATAAGCTGGGCATCATAGCACAGGCCTGTAGTTCCAGCTACTTGGGAGGCTGAGGCAGGAGGATCACCTGAGCCCAGGAGTTTGAGGTTGCTGTGAGCTATGATGACACCACTGTACTCTAGCTGGGGTGACAGAGCAAGATTCTGTCTTAAAAAACAACAATGACAACAAAAAAAACCATACCGAGTGAGTGTCACCAGGTTGCTGTTTATGGGCTCACCAGAAACACCTTGTCTAAACACACTGGAGCACTGTGGTTTCCTCTCACTTAGCTAGACTGCTTCTTAGCAAATGCCCTAACAAAGGACACTATGGAGCTGGCCATCTCCCCAGTGTACCCCACAATGGGCTTTTCCTCAGATGCCAGCTAGCCAGAGCTTATACTTACATTACCACCTCCAGGGACATGCTTAATATTGTCCTTGGAACCACACTTGGACTGAATATGGCTGTAGCTCACTTTTTTGGAGACTATCTGGACCTGGAGTGTTAGAGAACAGAAAAAACAACACAAAGGGAGAGGAATGGTTAGAACCAACACAGGGCAGGCAGTGAGTCCACACGTGATCACAACGACCAACAAAGAGTGTTGTTAAACCTCCACCCCCACCTTCGGCAGAATAAGTATGGAAAAGTACAGGAAAAGGAATTTGAAAGAGCAAGAAGGGGAGTGAAAACATGAACAGACAACACGAGGAGAGAAGCAGATGTTGCAAACGCGCTGCATGGTGGTCATCACTGCTCTGGGGCTGGGCTGTGATTCACAAGGCCAGACAGCAGCAGGCCTGTGATGCCCAGCCAGGCACAGCCCCACATCCTTGCTTTGCTCCCTCCCTAAGAGCTGGGGCAGTGTCCCTGGCTCTGCTCTGCCAGAGTCCTGATCATCTGGACCTGTCCCCACCCAAGGAGGGCACTTCTTTTAATCTAGGGTCTGAAATTGCTGGAGCCAGATCCACTCTTGGAAGCAAAGGCTGTTCTGAGAAGCACTGGGCATCTGGCTAATAGGGCACAGATCTGATACTAAAACGAAGGGAGGGAAATTGCTCAGATATAGATGCGAACAGATACAGAATCATGGACACCTGGGGAGCACAGGTCTCAGGTTCAGCAACTTCCACATTTAGCCCATTTGTCTCAGGGCTCAAGAAAGCACAATGCGACAGAGGCTTAGATCTAGCCTTATTTTTGATTCTTGATTCAAGGGTAAAACACCTTCTTGACTCCTCCAGATGCCTAATCCTATGCCCTGTGAGATTCACATAAAAAGAGAACAGGCTGTAGGCAGGGCTGCAGTGATGCACCAGGTCTGGAGGCACAATCACACTGTACTGTACGAGAATGGCTCCCACTGGGATTGAGAAACACAAGGGCCCTGGCTCTAAGAGTCTGGAACAAAGAATTCTTGGACCTTCTCAAGAAGGGATAGTGGTCAGCTTCCTTCCTTCCTTTGCTTCAGAGCTGGAGGCTCTTTGTAAATGAGGCAGCCTCCAGACTGAAGAGTTCTCCACAGGGTACAGAAATCCACCCGGAAAAACTCCAACCCACACAGCTCGTTGTACCTTGTCATTTCTGGCCTTCTTCACAACTTTAGTGACGAGTAATTGGTTAGCAAACCACTTCCTGAAAATCCCTGGTCTGAACCAGAGACCCACTAGGACCTCTCTAGTAGTCACCCCGAAGCCATGGCACAGCCTTCTTCACCAACCCCACTGTACCTATTCCTTGGTATTAAGACTTGCTGAGACTGCCCATTCTGGTCCCTAAGGACTGGAGCTCAGGCTTCTCTGGCAGCCCTTGGCCAGAGAGGCACACCTGCTTGCCACAGCTACGGAAGGAAAGCATCCACTAGCAGGCCAGAGGAGCCTGGTTTCAGGGTGTGGAGGCAAGGGGGAAAGAACCTTTCAGCTTAGCTCTAACCTCCAGCTGATCCTGCCTGCCCTACACTAAGTAGATTTCTATTGGGAACAAGCATCCCATCTTTCAGTTAAACCAGGACAAACTGAAGCTATCTCCATACCCAGCAGCATTATGAGTGGGGTCTTTTAGTTCAAGTAAACGCACAGGGTCTCCAGGGTTCCAGGTGCTGGAATATTACCATTGCCATATCCTCTTACTGAGAACAAACCTGGGTATGCTGTGCGTGTGCATACCAGGTGGGTTTCACATCAAGGACAGTGTGAAGGAAGTGACTGAAAGTTTTTGGATCCCTTTATCCAGCTGAGTAAGTATTTCCAAAAGGGCTAATGGGCTCCTAACTCTGTTAACTTTCAGGGTTAATATAAAAAACTTTCTGATGGCTGAGTCACCAAGCACAGAGAAGGGAACATGGAGGAGAAGTAGAAACTAGTTAAGGGTAGGAAAAAGTGCAAAAGAAGGGAAAGTGACTCAGGCTGGAAGAAATACTCTACCATCTTTAACCTTCCAGAGGTAGGTCTAAATAAAACTCACTTTCCCAGCAGGTGGTTTCTGTGCACTTGCAATTGGGCCGGCTGTTTTAGTGACTGCATTAGATTCAGGCTTTCGAGTTGGAGCAGCTGCCTCTGTTTTTTTCTCTACTTTGGCCTGGATGGAGATAAAGGGAGTGAAAATTTCAAACCAAGAGGATAAGAGCTCCAATGCCAAGAAGGGAAGAGGGCTGTAGGGGATTCAAATCCAGGCCAGGCCACCAGGCAGAAGCAGGTCACCCTTAATCCCAGGAAAAAAACATAGATTTCCTAGGGTAGACCAAGCTGGAGATCCCTGAGTAGAGGATGACAGGGAAAGGAGCTGCAGACCAAAGTCTTGAGACATGGGGGAAGAGATCAAGGCACCACTTGTGGAAAAATGGAGCTATCAAAGGCTAAGAAGACCAAATCATTGATCTCCTTTGAGTGTGTGTTGGGGTTATCACTTCCCAATCACAATGCCCTCCCACTCAGAAACACCATGGCCATAGGGAGCCACTACTGATGATGGGAAATGTCACGTTCTTCAGGCATGTAGGAAGAGAAAACAATTCACTAGACAAGTTATTCACCCCCCCACCAAGACCTCCTGCAACTTCTGCACCACGAAAGAATAAGACGAGCAAAGAGAGGGGGAGATGGGCCACCAGCACCACAGGCCAGGGCCTGGCTGGGTACACCAGAGCCACAACTGCTTACCAGTGAGGCCCTAATCCAGACTGATCCCAATTTGCCATCAGTGTCTTCCAACTGTACCAGGATTCTGCCTCATTTTCCCCTCCACAATTTTTTAGCTGTTCTGGATTGAAGTAATTTAAGTATTCTCCCCTGGATGGTTGTGGTTTAACGCTAGCAAATGAGGTAGGTGATTGAAATGGTACTTACTCCAGGGACTTGAACATTCTCAGATGGACTTTTGCCACCACTTTTTTCACACACTGAGCCCCCATGGTTGCTAACAGTTAACAAATAATTTTGGGATTGATGCAACCAGAAAATCCTTAAAGTGAAGCGCTGTCCTGCCACGCCTTTCTCCATCCTACTAATGTAGTCCTGTTGTTTCGGAAAGCCAGAGGATTATAGCACAACCGATCCTGGCCACAAGAGGACACTCTGTCCTCTTTCAGACAGATTCCACCCAAGTCATGGGTTGTGGAACTTAAGAGGTGATCCACCATCTGTCTATCCTGACATTCACTGTGCAAGGTAAGAACCATGAAAAATTGGGTTTATGTCAAGTGTCTCTCACTCTCACAGAGTCTCTGAGGCCTCCTCTGTTTCTTCTGTGAAGTACAAGAATCCTTTTATCTCCAAAGAAAAATGTAAACCCAAACCCCAACATACAGAACAGAAGCCCCTCTGACTGAGGTGGGAAGAAGCAGCCCAGAGCTCAGCCCACCCCTTCACTGCTGCTGGGATGCAAAGCCCACTGTGGAGCCCAGGCTAAAGTTCCTTGATGCTGAATACAATGTCTTAACAGCCCCCTTCCTTGGTGGGCCTGGTGGATTGGATGGGGGAAGACACAGGGCCCAGCATAGGAAGGACCCCAAGTTCCCCGGACCCACCCGGCCTCCTCCAGGCTGATGCTTGATGTTTTCCGTGGAGCCAACCTTGGAGCGGACATTCTTCAGATCAGGAGCAGAAGCATTGGTGGCTAGGCGGCTCAGCCTGGGGGCAGTGGAGCTGGGCTTGGCTGAGGTGGGCTTCTTGTCCATGGAAGGAGTCATGGAGGGCCGAGAAGGCATGGGTGTAGGCTTGACTCGAGCAGGAGCCACCCCTGTTGGGGGAGCTGTCCCACTGACAGAGGTGTTTTTCTTCACAGAACTGGTGGAGGTGCTCTTTGAGCGACTCAAGTCAGCTGCAAAGGTAGGACAGAGAGATAACAACGGTTCAGGGGGAGAGAGAGAAAAGGAGACTTTAAGCCATGGAAGAGGCGGGGGTTCAAGTTAGAGTTCCACAAACTGGTGGATGGGGTATTACCTGGTGCAGACTTTGCAGTCATCTTCTTAACTTCTGCAGGTTTTCCCTCAGTCTTAATGGCTGCACAAACATATACTTATTAATACAACACTTAACAAACTGACCTATTGAATGGCACATCCAATACTGAGACTCCTCATTATTTAACAATTACTGAATGTCTACTTTGAGCCAGGGATTGTGCTAGTCTTTGGGAATAGAGTAGTAAATTAGAGAGCTATGTAAAGACTGTGCCCATATGTAGCATACAAGGCCAGGCATTGCATCTTATTCCTCAAGCGATCCTCCCATCTCAGTCTCCTAAAGTGCTAGGATTACACGAGTGAGCCAATGTGCCTGGCTGCCATCTTATTCTTCTCTAGAGTCCTGACAATGCCTTCTACATGGCCTTAGAAGTAGGTTGTCAATACATGCTTATGGACTTGAATTGTCTATTTCTTATCATGTAAGCCCATGACCACAATGTGCTGGGTGCTGTGGAGTCACTAAGAAAGGAACAGTGAATTCTACCCAGGATGAGAGTCCCTGTCATTCAAGATTTTTCTGAATATACACAACTGCTAAGCTCACACGGAGACCAAGGCTTCTTAAGTATTCGGCCCACCAGGCTGCCACTATTTTATGTACCCCACTAAGGACTGGTGTATGAGCAGGTCTGCACAGCTGTCTGTGATGCTGGCTAGAGCTATGGCTAGGACAAAGCCAAGGCCCCATTCTCCTCCCCACTAGTTTCATGGGAGGGAAGGATAGGCACTACTCACCAGTGGGCCTCTTGGGCAGGGTTGTAGGGGGGCTCCTACTGCTTGGCCCAGCTGAGGCAAGAGCAGCAGCTGTTGTGCCTTTCGGAACAGTCTGGGTGCTCTTGGATCCAGGTCTCACGGCTGGGGCAGAAGCCGGCTTGGACGGTGAGGCCCGCTTCTCAGGAACCTTTGCTTCTGTGACAGGCTGGAAACAGGAAACTGGGAGTAAGAGCTTCAGGTCAGCAATAGCCCCAGGAAGTCAAGTCACAAGATGGTTCTATATAAGCATGCAGCAGAGAGCAGGAGGTACTGTGGGTTGGCAGCTACTGATGGGAAAATATATATGGCTCTAAGATCTCCATATAAAGCGAGGAACTAACCATGTAGGGGTGCTATGTGATCTGAGGTCAGGAAACAGGGACTCAAATGACCTTGATCCAACCTGAGCCAGTAAGAACATCTCTGACAAGTATATCACAACAGCCTATGTTTGCCTCAGGATTTACAGCATTAAATACTAATATCTTTTTTTTTTTTTTTTGAGACAGAGTCTCACTCTTTTGCCTGGGCTAGAGTGAGTGCCGTGGCATCAGCCTAGCTCACAGCAACCTCAAACTCCTGGGCTCAAGCGATCCTCCTGCCTCAGTCTCCCGAGTAGCTGGGACTACAGGCATGCGCCACCATGCCTGGCTAATTTTTTCTATATATTTTTAGTTGTCCAATTAATTTCTTTCTATTTTTGGTAGAGACGAGGTCTCGCTCTTGCTCAGGCTGGTCTCGAACTCCTGAGCTCAAACAATCTGCCTGCCTCAGGCTCCCAGAGAGCTAGGATTACAGGCGTGAGCCACCGCGCCCGGCCAATACTAGTATCTTTAATGTAATAAAATCTAATGTATTAAATACTTGACAAAAGATTAAACAAACATATAAACAAAACAAAACCTAAACATTATATTCAGTCAAATTCAGCCATTCTTTTGGTTAACATGTACCTAGAGAGTGCTGAGCAGGACCAGGCTGGAGATGGAGAAGCCACTGGCCAAATCCAGGTCAGAAGCCTGAGCTCCAGCCCTAATCCAGCCCCTACTCGCAGTGGGACAAATCACAGAGCCTCTTTGAGCTTTAGTTCCTCATCTGGATAAAGGCGATTATAACAGAGCGTCACTAAAGACCAGCTTTGATAACATGTGAAATTAAAGAATAGAGGAGAGAGGTCTCTGATAGCACAGAGATGGTAAGAAGGGGCAGCCCTGACCAATAGTGGGAACGAGAAGCACTGATATCACAGCTATGATCTGAGAGCAAAAGGGAAAAAGTCTCTCAAGTGTAGATGCATGGCATCTGGGTCACTCTAGTTTCTCTTACCTGCAGGCTGGGAACGCCATCAATAGCGAGGAAGAGAAGGAATCAATTTAGCCTGGTTTCTACAGGAATAGGGAATGAAGATACTATGTCGATAAGCAAATGTACCATATTACTCATGAGAGTAAGCTAAACCAGACACAGCGGGCCCAGCTCTTTTCCTCTAAGAAAAACAGCCACACAGAGGGCAGTATGTTCACAGAGACAAGCAGGATGTTTAAATGGAAAATCAACTAAGGAGATACTTAGAAATTAAGGGCTGGAATCCAATCAAATAAAGTCTAACTCTGTAAATGCATGGTAATGACTACTTCCACAAATAGAGACCCCTAAAGTTCGAATCAGGGGAAATGGTTCTGCTACTAGCTCTATTGGGAACATGTTGTAGGATTTTGTACAAGAGGGGGTTCCTCTTATGGCTCTAAACCAGATGCTCTCTGGGGTCTCCTGTAAATGTTTAATACTATGACTATGATTCAGAATAATCTAGTGTAGTCATACTATTTTGCTAGTAAGAGTAATAAGGATGAAACAAGTTAGAAAATAGTACTTGGGATAGAAACCTTTAAAGGATGTGACATCCTTCAAATGGATCTTGGCCTCAGCAAACTGCAGAACCAGCCTGGCCTTATAACTGGAGTTATTTTGTTGTTTCTCAATTTATATTTTCTCCTCTGCCAGAGTCACAGATCTACTTATTTTTTTCTGAATAGGTTTTTCTCCCTTTATTTGCTCCTATAAATCTTTCTATCAAAATAAGGATAAAAATAATCGTGTTAGACTTTAGTTTTTAATCTCACAAAATGTTTCCATCTGTTTCTTATCTAAAAGAGAAAACATTAATAATTATAACGTAGAGATCACCTATTTAGGTCAGCTGTATCTCAAAACGCTGTCTGAAAACTGCATGGGAAAAAGCCATAAAAGAACAGCGCTGACAGAGGCCCTGAGCATCAGCCTGGGAGTCAGATCCAGGCTCAAATACTGGCTCTGCCACTTAGTAGCACTTGACTTTAGAAAGATTATTTAACTAAGTTTAAGCTTCTTTATCTATAAAATGAAGATACTGAGAAACAGAATTAAAGGAATTAATGTATATTAAGTAATTAGTACAGTATACTTCATTTTAATTATTATTATGGAGTGAAATTTCACTAGACACCTCCTTTTCTCCCTACACCCTCCTGTCTCAGCCACTGTTGAATAAACTATAGGGAGGACCTGCAGCCACGGGTCCGGTCACCTTCTCTCTGCCCTCTTATTCAAATAAGTTGGTTTTTTGTTGTTGTTTTTGCAGCAACTGTAGCCTAACAATCAAATACGTTGTTTTCTAAAGATCAAGAAAAGTAGCCAACTGGGTAAATGAGGATCAGAGAGAAAGCATTATAAGATTTTATCATTACTAGTCTATGACAGGATTTCTCAGTTTCAACCTAGACTATAATTCTTAGGTTCTAACAGTTTTCTTTACAACATTAAATTAAAAACTGACATTTGGACATAGGAAACTATTTCCCACTGTGAATTTAAAGAGTACCACCAGGCTGACCTAAAAGCCCTTCTCAAATGAAAAAGATGTTAAGGAAGGCAGCCACAGCCTTCACACACCCTCTCTTCCTGGAACAATTCTGTAAAGCTAATGCTGCTCCAAATGTGAACAGTTTCTGGGCAATACAGAAAGTGAGGATGATCTGGAAAACTGGAAAACTTCAGGAGAAGACCAGTGAAGGAAAGCAAAGTAAGTTATCACATGACGCTGGAACATGTAAGATAAGCCAGAAGAGTTACTTATATTGCAAAAGTAATGGGGAAAATTCACTTCCGCAGGATGATTAAAGAAAAAGACAAATAACTGCATTTGATGTGAGAATTACACAAAAAAAGAATATTTGATTAGTATGTGGAATAGAGAAAATGGGTTAACAAGTGCTTAAATAGGTAAAGAGTACAGAGTAGCTGAAAGAAAGGAGGAGGAATCAAAGTTGATGGAATATTGCCTCCAACCAAGGCAGGGAAAGGTAAATACCATAAAAGGACTTCAAAATGTTATGGCTACATCACTGGGTCCCTAATCTGATTTTCAAATCTCCCTTCCCCACATTTCCCCTTCCTTTTCCCAATTCCACCAGCCTGATTCCAATGTCTGGTTGTAGCAAGAGCCTATCTGACATTCAGAGGGGAAAAGTTTTCCCTGGCACAGTAGTTAGGTGACTACTTACCTTTGGTTTCACATCTCGTGAAGGTAAGGTGGAAGGCCGGGCAGTGGTGGCAGCAGGGCGTTTGGGTGGGGCAGCTGGTACTGAGCCTGATGCAAGGCTCATGGGTTTTTTATTCGATCCACCAAGGGTGGTGGGAGCTGGCTGCTTAGGGAGAGAAGTGGGCTGTGTTTTGGCTTTCGATGTTGAAGTCTTTGCAGGCTGAGAGGTGGCCAAAGGCTTTAGGTTGATTGTTGTTTTTTTTTAATTTAATTTTATTTTTATTTTTTAAAGGCCAACATCAAACACACAGACAAGAATAAAAACAAATTAAAAAAAGTATAAATTGCACAATTCAAAGTAAAATTATAAGCAATGCGGATTGATGCAACTGAAAATCAGCATTCCTTTCTTCTGAGCCCAGTAAATAGAATGACAACAGGATAGAGATAAAAAAAAAAGAATTGGGAATTGTTTCTTAATGACAGTCCCACAAATTCCAGCAGTCTGGCACTTAATGATTTAAATCTAGTAAAACAATTAACTAACTTGTAACTAGAGAATTCTATTAATATAGAATTGTTGGGTATAATAATTCTATTAAGAAAATTATCAGGAGGTGATTAAGCCATTATTATCTGTATCTTTTTTTTTTCTTTTTTTGAGACA